AGCACTCTGAAGCAAAATCCTCCTGCTGCTATTTGAATTGTTTCATCCCACACGTATTTGTAGGTTATTAGGTGGCCATAACTCTTACGGAAATATCCAGAACATTGTGAGAAATGAGTTTACTTGGTAAGTCACATTGTGAGAAAATGGCTCAATGAACATTTCAGTCACTTTGTATGAAAATGGGATCAGCAAATCAGGTCACAGTACATGACAGAGTTTCCGTTCCCTTCCGATGTTTACCCGGAAACACATACTGTACAGTGGTCTGTTCCACCTTCCTGTCAGATAACAGCCAGCCAATATTCTCCCCCATTCTGTGGGCTTCCTCTTCACTCTGTTTCCTTAGTTTCCTGAAGTCGTAATCAACTCTTAGCCTCAATTCCTGGGCAAATGGAGTCCCTATTCAGAAAGCCCTTCTACACCTGTATCTGTAGGGCACTGCCCATTCTCCTCTAGCAGTTCCGGTGTTCGAGGTCTCCTGGAAACACGGAGCTCCTAAAGTGAGTCCACCTGATGCTTCATTTACAACTTCCTTCATCCATACCTTTATCTTCCTTCATGCTTTGTCTTGTCAGTTTCGCTTCTGTTGTCTATTTTTTTTCCCCAACTACTTACATCTGAAATTAAGTATAAATTTAATACAGTTTTTCCTGGGTCCTGAGCTGACGTTCTTATCTATTAAGGACAACATTGTTGACCCTTGGCAACGAAACTCAAAAAGCCCAATCAGAATGTCTATTGTCTTCTGGCAAGACTCCCCACTGGTCTCCAATCTAGCTTTCCTATTCCCACCTGATCAACATGAAACAAAAACGTGCTGCTGGCGACCACAGCTCACAGCAAAAACAAAACTCTTCAACAGAAGTTGAGAAGTTTTTACAAAACTAATCACAACTGTTACCATTAAAAAGCAAACAAACAAAAACCATCTTGCAAACAGTCCGGACAAAACCTGAAGATATTTATTGCACCTTTACTCACAGCCTCCACACTCAGACAACTGAGGTGTCCTTGGGTAGAAAAACGGGAAAGCATGATTTGATACATCCAGGTAGTATTACTTTTCAGAGCTGAAATGAGAAAACCAAACCATCACCATGCGTGCAGGTAATCTTAAAGGGGTATTACCCACAGCAGCGGCAGCCAATCCAGAGCGACACAGACTTCAACTCTGACAATCCAGCGAGAGAAATGCTCAAGAGACAGTAAGATTCACACTTGCCAGAGGGCAGAGAGCTGGGGCTGAACTGGCAAAGCCCTGGGTTTTCAGAGCAGTACCAAGACTGTGTGACACAAAGTCATACACATTTACCTAACACAATGAGTCTAAATGTGAATTACGGGTGATGACGCTATGTCAAAGGCCTTCATGAACGGATGTGGACTACTCTGGTAGTAGATATTCACCATGGTTAAGAGTAAAAGACTTGTGGAGATGGGTGAAGTTCAAAACCCCGTACCTTTCTCCCCAATTAATATTGCTGATTAAAACAATTACAAAAAATAAAAATAAGATAAAATAAGATAAAAGGACAGGTATGGAGAGAAAGGAGAAGTTCTGCCGAGGCACCAGGGCTTTTCATGAGCCCCTGACTTCCCGTCACTTCCTGTCTCTCCAACAGGTCTTCTCTCTATACTGCGTTCTCCAGCCTCCAGGTTTGAAATTGACGCATCTGAATGTTAAAATTCTTGAGATCTGGTCATATGTGAAAGCTGGTAACCAATTTAGAGTCAAAAAGGAGTATATAGCCATTTAAATCACTGCACACCTTCGAGAAGTCAAAGTATTTATTTTTGACATATTTACATACTTACAAAATTGATTTTATCCAATATATCACTCTACATAATATCACAAAATGAATACAATATCCTAGGAAAAAAAATCTACATTTCATAATAATTTATATTTAACTCAACAACTTTTACAAACAGACTATCAATTTGGCTTCACAAATCACTGTCCTTAGTTTTAATTTAGTTTTGTTTTCTTCTTCTTTTTGCCAAATAACGAGAGTAAACGAAAGGGCAGGCTGAAGTATCAAGTTGACCCTGAGTAACTGCTAATTCGCATAATTCAGAACAGGTGTGCTGTGTGCTTTCATTTGTTGTCTTACCTGCCTACATTTAAGATGGCAGAATCTTATCTCTAAAGACTGAGGAAGGAAGAATGAAAAACAACACGGAAATCAGTAGAAAGAACTTCCAGCTTCTAAAATGTTTCCAACTTCAGAAGTCCTTGATACAGTTTCTGTCCAGCATTGTCTCAAATCTGAGTAGGGACCCGGGACTGTGGCCCTTCAGGAGAATGCGTGCCCAGAGTAAAAGAGGCTCTGCCTAGCATTGTGACAAATAAACCAAGCTAGAGGAAAACAAAAGCAATAAAAACTGAACCCTTGGAACGAAATAGTTGAGCAGTCTTGTGAGGCTGATTTTAAATTACTTCTCCTGTTTTATTTTCCTACTGATTAAAATAAAAATTCAATAATCTGGAGGAAAAAAACCATAAAAGCCACCACCATAACAATGGTGATTTTTTTTCCTGAAAGGTTTGAAAAATGCAACCACCACCACAAACTCCCTAAAACTGCCATTGTTGAAGGTACATAAAAACAGGCAGGAGGAGAAAAGGGCACAGGAGCAGAAGGGCTGGGAAGGAAACCAGGGTTTTGGACCGGTCAGGCCTAAATGTCACCAGGCAGATTGAGCAGGGGAATCCCAGAAGACAAGGGTCAGGGAAACAAGCCGGTAGAGTCAGCCTGCTCTGACATCCTCCAAAGAGAATTCTAGGCCAGAGAACCTATCTACAGAGAGATCAGACTGGATCCAACAGTTCTCTCCTCCATCAGCCCGTCACTCCTCCTCCCTTCCTCATAGTAGCAGACTAGGTAATGACAATTATCCAGTTTCGACCAAGCCATGGCATAAGTCTGCAACTGTTACTTAGGACTCAAGGAAAACCATCACCCAGTGAGATGTCAGTGACCCCAGTGATTCTCCTGGAAAGACCCTCTGAAACAGTAACTAAGGTAATGCAGATTCAATCAGACAAGGGAAAAATAGGGTACCTTCAGGGTCTGTAAAACTTGCCTTTGCAACGCCCCATCAAATGCTATAGACAAGACAGTTCCCCCTGTCGGGTGTGTGTGTGTGTGTGTGTGTGTGTGTGTGTGTGTGTTTTGGGGACTGACCCTAGGGCCTGACATCAGCCAGTGTTCCATTATAGCCTACATCCCCCGACCCAAAGGACAGCTTTTAAAAACAGCACAGCAGCAAGTGGGAAAGAAAGACCCTGCTTCTTATGCTCCAAGAAGCAATGAGAGGCACTGTGGCCGATTTACACTGGGCCAGGCACATCACCACAGCCACAGACTTCCTTCCTGCCTAACTAAGCACCACACACAGTGCTTGGGGATTAACAAACGCCCACCTCAAAAGTATTAATTCTCCTTCTTCTGGAAAAGTATCAGAAATCATGTCATTACTGAACAGCACTATGGCACAGCACACTGGAAGGACAGAGGATGAGTGGAGAGTCGACTGACTCTGGCATCTACAGAACTGTATCAACAAGGAAAAGAAAGTTAAATTACATTTCAGTACCAAATTATCTTCACGAAGATATCTGAATTGCATATATAGAGTTTAACTGTGTAAGAAAATTTTTTACTTAATTTTGACTTATGTAAATCCCTCAAATGGTAAAATATATTATTTCAGGGAGAAAAAAAAGCATTTGCTAAATGCAATGGATTAAATAAACTACATCGAATATAAAATCATTCCCTTGAAAACATCCATAAGAAATAAAGGCAGAAGGGCACAGTTAGAGAAGTCAAGCTGTGCTTAAGGCAAACCAGGAAACAACCTTAGACATATTCAAGGTCCAGTTGATCAACATCAAACAGGGGTGAGCCCATGAGTCCTGCCCCTCCAAACTGGGGAGCTATTGGCAGTTGATGGGTTCTGAGGGATAGTCAATTTTCAGTAGTCCCTCGTAGGCCAACTGGTTGACAGCCTAACACCTTTCTGGGCGGTACAAACTGGATTCAGTAAAGAGTACATGGAGTGGGAATGGAAGAGTTAGGGAAGGGGTGGGAGACAAGTGTCATCAGAACTACTGCATGAACTTCTCAAACAATAAGAAAAGGAACTTTCATTAAAGAACACACACCATCCCAAGAGAAGGGGATCCCCTCTTAAGAGTTTGGAGACGGTGAGTAGATGTAGGAGGAACAGCTCTCATGACAGCCAGTTTGTGAAAGTGCCAACACCATTGTACAAAATGACACAAGGGCTGGAGAGATGGTTCAGGGGTTAAGAACATTGATTGCTCTTCTAGAAGAACCATGTTCAATTCCCAGCACCAATATGGTTGTTCACAACTATCTGTGACTCCAGTTTCAGGGTCTGATGCCCTCTTCTGGCCTCCCTGGGCACTGTGTACATGGTACATAGACATACACATAAAACATCAATAAACAAATTTTTTAAAAAAAAATCTCAACAACAACAATAAAACCACGAATACATATCTGAACTAAAATAGATTTGGATGATCTGCCCCTGTTCTTACATAGCAATGAAAAAAAATAAAACGTTATTTTCTGATGTTCATAGTTATGAACCTACAAAATGCCAAAGTTTAAAACAAAAAGAAACAAGTATAACTTTCAAACTATACATACATAATAACAAAAACTATCCATTCTGTTAATTTGGCCCATATTCTATAAAACACAAGGATCTGTGCACAAACCCCCCCACCAGGCCCCAGCAAGCATGTCAGGTTCGTTGTTGAGCATGTGCACTGTTCACCGCCAAACCTGAGATCATGTGCACACAGATGACAACAGGATTAACAGGGCAGGTAACAGAGACATGTTCTTAAGAAACCACAAGAGCCGAGAACAATCATCCATTTGTGAACATGGATTTCCACGTTATAAATCTGGTATACTGAATTGTGCTGTAAATATATGTGTGTATTTTTTGGGAATTAGGATGTATGAAATCATGACAGTGAAAAGAGCATCTACTTCTTCTGTTTTACTGGGATGACACCTGTGCCTTTATTTATTTTTTATTCTTTTAAAAGGACCGCAGCCTACAGAACAATTGTAAAAACTGTTGGATTCTCTGGAACTATCCCGTCTCCTCTAACACAGAGCCAAGGGTGACGGCAGGTCTCCGTTTCCCAGCAGCTGGTCTCACATGGGCCTGGGAGGCAGGCGCTGCTTATACATGCCCGCCAGAGCCTTGGCTGCGCTGTAGATCATCTGTCGGCGAGACATGCCAGTGAAAGCAAGGTGCCAATCAGTTCGGCTGACGTTTACCAAGCTCTTTTCCAGGACTTCCCCCACTGTCACCAACAGGCCTGACCACCTCAGATTGTAGTCCTGGGGAGTCAGGCTTTGCGCCTATGGAAAAAGGAAGGTGAGTTACTTGTCACACGTTGAAACAGCATTGGAACTCGCTATGTTACAAGACTCCTTGGTGTCTCGACTCCGCTTATTTTAATACAGACTATGACAAACCCTCAGGAGCTCGGCTATGCTGCCACCAACTGTATAAAGTTACAAGGGTGACTGCACACGCCTACTGTGTTAATGAGCCCAGCACACTCACGGTTCACACAGAATCTAATCTCCTCACAATTTACATTTCAGCAGGGCTGAGTGCACGTCCACCTTCTCACAACTCACGCTGAGGGCTTAAGTTCTAGTTCTACGTTCAGGGTCACTTCATGTTAATAATAGGTTTCTGCTAAAATCATGTTCTTAGAGCCACAAAATTCCAAGCTGAAAGAGACTACATATTGAGTCTTTAGCACATTTAAGAAAGGATTTAGTAGTTCCTAGACAGTGTCTGCAGATACGGATACAAGTCAGCAGCTCGCAAACAGCACCCAGGCCAGGTCAGCGGCCACCAGCACTGTCGCTCGCCACCCTTACCCAGCCTGTATGACACCACTTCTCACACACAGACGCGAACGGCAAACAGATTCAAGGGTTCAACAGCCAGGGCTAGTTTAGAGTCCAGAGAATATCTGCAGGCAGAGTGGATCTGCACTGTGCACACATGCCCAACTACCTGCTTCACAATCACCCCAAGGGCTTCCTTTTTACCTCAAAAACAAAACGAAATGAAATAAACAAAAGCAATAACAACAACAACAAAAACAATTTCTTAGGCTCAATTTGGAAACACTACAGATTAATACAAGACAAATAGTCAAGAGTTACATCAAATAGCTTCCCACCAACCCTGACAGAGACAGTGCGCCGCAATCTGCACTACCAGCATTGCAGTGTGCTCCAAAGAGAGACAGCAGGTCTTCAAAGACCCTGAGAGCCTGCTCCTCACACACCACGGAATCCATGGGAGCCTGCTCCTCACACACCAAGAAATCCATGGGAGCCTGCTCCTCACACACCACGGAATCCATGGGAGCCTGCTCCTCACACACCACACAAGTCAAACTGTGAGCATCGAGAACCATGTGCAGATCTCACTCAAGGCATTAATCAGTGATTTACTGCTGGGTGGTGCTCTTTGGAGATGGTTTGGCTAAGTCACATGAAACATGGCAGTGACTCCTAAACTAAAAAGATAGCAATTCTACAAGGCTCAATCTAATACTTTTGAATCAACAGTGGTAAAACTTCCATCTTCCTAGAAAACCTGTCATGTTATGGCCATTTTAAGTTTTATTAGCGTAACAATATGCTAATATTAATATCATATATTATTATAATATATTGATATATAATTAATATAATAATAATATGCACAGCATCAGCTTAAAGCCTCTAACTGTCCTCACGTGAGTGCCTGACCTTCTGAAGAGAATTTAGGTGCAAATAAGCTTCAGCAAACATCAAAACTCCAAGCATCTTTCCACACTGCAAACACAGGAAGGACCACTAAGCCCCTTTAGCAACTTTATGGCTACACATTAAGCTGAAATGTAACTGTGCACATATTTTCTTGGAGAACATCAAATGTCTTCTCATACCATCAAACGTCCATACATTCAAAATAATTGTAAAGAGGGGGCAACAACTAACTCATTGGACGGTACTGAGATCCCAATGACAGGCACAGTACATTTCATTCACTAGAGAATTGAGAAGATTTCTATAAAATAAATCTAAGTACAAATCAGTTTGGAAACTGTTCAAGCGTATATCATTAGGTCGGTTTTCAGCCAGCAAATCTAAAGACAAATTCCTGTCAGCTACATTCTTTTAAAACTTTATTTTTTACTTTGTGTATGGGGATTTTGCCTGCCTGGATGCTTACACCTGCCTGGATGCTTACACCTGCCTGGATGCATGTATACCTGGTGTCTGCAGAGAGAACCAGATCCCCTGGAACTGGAGTTATAGACAGCTATGAGCTGCATGTGGGTGCTGGGAACTGAACCCAGGTCCTTTGGAAGAGCAGTGTTCTTAACAACTGAGCCAATTCTCCAGCACTCATCCAAATTTTGTTTGTTTGTTATTCTGGTTTACAGAGACTCGTCTGGGACTTGCTCTGTAGACCAGGCTGGCCATAAGCTCACACAGATCCGCCTCCCTCTGCCTCCCAAGTGCTGGGATTAGAAGGTGTGCACTACCATGCCAGCTTTCATTTAACTTTTTAAATATTGACTTGTTACTAAAATGAACAACAAAAAAAGATGATCAGATCAAGGAGAAAAGAAACAGATAAAATAATACAAATAAAGATGAGATAAACAGGGACCGGGGACACGGCTCAACTGGTAATGACCACGGTGTAAGACAAGGGCCTAAGCACCCACTTAAGAAAAGCCAAATGTGAAAGCACCTGCCTGAGATCCCAGTGCAGGGGAAGTAGAGACAGGAGGATTCCTAGGACAACTAACCAGCCAGCCTCGCCTAACTGGTGAGTTTCAGGTCTATGAGACTTGTTTCAAAACAACACAAAGCAGGGTGGGCAGCTTCTGAGAGTGGCACCTGAGGCTGGCGTCCTCTGGTTTCCACACGGGCACACACGGGCACCCGCATCCATACCAGACAGCTACAGATGAGCAAGGGACGTGAAAACAAGTACATGTGACATAGATCTAAAGGCCAGCTTTCTTCTGATTCAGGGGCCATTACATAAAGAAAGGAAAATAACAACACGGCACAGTCAGAAAACCGACAAGCACAGCAGAAGACAAAGACAGAATCAAGGGCATAATCCTCATGATAAACACGGGGTGTCATGAAAAGGCAAAGAAACTAGCCTGCTGCACAAACTCCAAAGGCACCGGTGTGGCTTGAGTAAAGGCTTCCAGGCGGATGCCATGCACTGGGTCTTCAACCACCAAGCAGCCGATGTCAAACCACCTGGAGGAGAAATGGAAGCAGCACACTGTTTACATGTTAGATAAAATGAGAGTGGACAGGGCAGCACACTGTTTACACGCTAGATAAAATGAGAGTGAAGATACAAAATGGCAAAGCAAGTCCTTCTCACTGTTCAGACTACAGTACCACAGTTCCCAGAAAGAAAATGTGTTTCTAGTTTGCTGTGATCCAGCTGCCCTCACTCCCCCTGACCAACAGGGGAACTTCCTTGTGGTCTGTAATTGACAAGGATGTTTGCGTTCTTTCTGGCTGGTGGGTCTCCACAGAAGGAGTAGAGGTATAAAAGGTTGCTGGGCAAAATAAAGGTTGCTGTTCTTCCACCTGAAAAGAAGCCTCCATGTCTCATTCCCGGCACCCCCCGCCTCCCCGCCAGTCTTGGCTATCCAGGCTGCGCTGGCCGCAGCACTAGTTAGTTTGCACATGGACAAGCCATAAATGCAAAACTAAAATTACTTTATTATCTTAATTTCAAGAAGGTAGAAAGAAAGTAACAAAAAAAGGAAACTGGAATTGATGACCTTGGGAAACGTCCTCCTGCTAAGGTGGGGGATGACGGGAATGGGGGTTCTCAAAGACACAGCTGACTTACCAGAACATGCAAAGAGCTCCTTGTGGGTAATATTTTTAAATGATACTTGCTAAAATATGGGGATATTTGTAATACCAACTCTAACCAGCATGCAATCATCTAACAATGTTACTAGTAAATCAAGAAATAAGCTCATTCAGAGGAAATAACTGTGTGCTTCAGCCTTATGAACGTGAAACCTTTGAGTCACAGTTGTAGCCAGGGGCCAGCCCTTGGAAGCACGCTCGTGACAGACACTTACCCATAGATTATAAAGACCGAGGCACCACGAACACACTTAAGGTAACTGGGATAGCATCAGAATTCTAGCTAGCAGAAATATCAACCAACCCTGAATTAAGCACTAAGGGCACATGGACAAGATTATGTTTGTTCAATGTCTCCATCTTTCAAAAAATGAGGAGATTTTATAAGCACAAAGAACCACAAAATGAATAAGGAAATAACACATGTTAAAAAAAAAAAACCACTAAATAAGACACAGGGCAGCATAAGCAACTCCACAGAATATTAAAATGGTACTTTGAAATGTCTCAACATTCACATCTTAAAACCATTTCAACTCATGAATACTAAATAATATTTATTCCACTTGACTACTAATCAAAATCTCATATTTTGTTTTAACAAAGTCTCATTCAAGAAAGTGCAGCCAAGCTCAGCTACACCTTGTTTTGCCTCGTTCTGCCTGCTGTGGGCAGTGTCCATCCGGACACTGCGCTGACCCACCTGGAGTCTGCACCTTTGCGTCCTGAGAAGCTGCCCCACAGGCCCGGAGTCTCTAAGCCACACACATCAGAAGCGCAGTCGGCCTCCAAAGAGCACCACCTCCACCAGATACTGCAACCGGGACCCTGCCTTCCCATCCCCCTCTGTGAACCTGCAATCCCTGCCACGTGCCCAGCACCCTTCCATTTTGGTCCCTGGCCCTGCCATCTAAGGGAACTTCCAGCGTTCCCTCTTCTTCATAAAGTCCCTCAATAGGATCACAGCCGGGGCCAGGGATGGGGAGAATCTCAGCTGATCACTTTTGGTCACTAGGGATCTCCATCTTTTCTTCCCGTGTATAAGACAAGATGAGAGGAACGTCATGAACTGTGGTCCAGGGCAGTTATACTTCCCAGGGCAGGGAAAGGTTCACACTAGATTGAAGCCAAGAGACTGTCTACCATCACCAATCAAGCCACAATGAAGTTGATGCTTAACACACTGTAAGAACATTTTTGTGCACTTAACACATCCAAAACTAACAGCAAAGTCTAGGCCTGCTCATCTCAGAATACTTACACTGGCACTATTCTTATGTGGAAGGAGACAATAGGCTAACTTTTCCAATTCCGCACGAATGAACACAGTATCTGAAGAGCACTAACCAGGTCTATGTGGTTCTATGCGTTTTACCTGGTAAGCACATTTGGAGATGATTTCCCTTTTAGCTGGTTGCTCTCCCTGGCAGATGTTTCCAGCTCAACAGAGGCCACATTTTGCAAATTATGGTTACAAAATGCTAGGCAACAAGTAAACAATACCATGAGATTATAAATGAAATTAGAATTCACCAAAGCACGGCTATTTATTATAAAGTAACTCAACATATCCAAACAGGCTTTCCCATGAAAAAAAAAATCTATTAAAAACATACAGCCTTCAAGAATAATGCTGAAGTGTTTCTGGAGGCTTTGTAAAGCTACACACATAGTACTGTGCATCTCCAGCCTTGTGTACCATCAAGTCTTCCTGCCCATCTTCCACCACCGTGAGTCACATGGGAGCAGTCTGCTTACTCCAGGGCTCTATTACACCCGGCAGGCTGACGCGCAGTGTATTTCCTACATTCAGTCCTAAGGTATCAAGTGGTTGTCAGCACAGTCTGGGAAGCAGGCATCGCTCTGCACTGCTCAGTTACAAAAGAAAAGTAAGGACAGAGGTGCCAGCTAAGCACGGGACAGCCTCACTATCGGAGCAGACTCCCCACTCTGGCTCAAAACAGAAGGCACCTTCTCTAGGTGCTCCATGTGGGGACCCAGAGACTCCAGACACAGCTGTGTTGATCCCCAGGGTGCCCTGCGCCTCTTACTTGTCGGGCAGCAGCTCAGCAATGAAGTTCTCCACTGACACAGCAGTCTGCTTCTCGTGGATCGCGCCGGTCCTCCGCAGGCTGTCTATGCGTTCCTGGGCGCCCTAGAGCAAAAGCAGAGCAGGTTGCCAACCAGTTTTAAAACAGTATTAATGCTAAATATACTATTCTTAGCTATACAGTACATATAGGTATTTAACACAATATACACTCACCGTAAAAATTCAAAAGACCCTTTGCAGGTGTCGCCTAAGATCACTGGAAAACGCCGATATTTACTTATGATTCTTAACAGTAGCAAAATTACAGTTATGAAGTAGAAACAAAAACAATTTTACGGTTGGGGGTCACCACACATGAGGAACTGCATTAGGAAGGTTGAAAACCACTGGTATAGACTAAAAATGGCATTCCCTTGGTGTTAAGGTTAGGATATATTTTCCAAATTATTCCCTTATGCAATATTGTGTTGGTTGCAATCTATTTAATAGATTATTTTAAAATTAAAGCTTCTACTTGACTACTCATTTAAGAAAGTCTTATTTTTAAATGTTCATTTAGCAAGAGATTATCTTCCAGAATAATAATCTTTTCAGCCCTGGTATCTGCTTGGTTGATTTGCTCTTGACTTTGGGCTTCTGAGCACACCTACACTGAACATGTGTCTTTTCCCAGATTTTCTAATTCCCTTTTAAAGATAACATGAAGGACATGAAAACTACTACAAATAAAAGTTACATGTGTATGCAGTACATCGAAGCTGACTCAGCAGAATTGTCATTAATGAATCCAAACAAAGTTTGAGACATCTGCACAAATAACTGAAAGCTAAGGGTATGGATGGGGGAATAGAGAGGCCAACACCGGGTTACGAGGGCTGCTGCTGTGCCCAATTGTTGTTGGAATCATCTCATAAACTGTGATGGCAAATGATGTGTTAGCAATGTTCTAAGGGCAAAGGCTGAGGAGGCAGGCCTGTAATCCCAGCACTTGAGAGGTGGACACAGAAGGGATGAGGGTTCCAGACCAGCCAGCCTGGACCACATAGCAAGACCCACTCTCAGATGCTACCTTGGGAAGAAAAAAGATTAAATTTCTTTTGCAGAGTGAATGCTGTCTATTCTTGATCAATTACATCTCCTAGGCTCAGCATTAGGCATAATCAAATAAATATTCAGTAAGAACTTGTGATGTGAAAAACCAAACAACAGCAAAAGCCAATCTTGAAATTGTGACAAGCAGAGACTCACTTCAGGCAAGAGATTTGTTCCCACCTTTCAAATAAAACTCATCCATATAACACTTGTGATTTATCTTAAGGTTTACATTTATGGTGGGTGTATATTTATTTTTCCAATTCACCACTTTCATTTCTAGATTAGACTGAATTCAAACTCTACAAACAGCAATTAGCTTTATTATAAGGCATAAACACCTTCTAATAAAAGTACACTGGAGTCAAAGTCAAAGAAAACATTACATGCTCCTTTATACAAAGTTTTTAATGTAAATACAGTTGATCCTCAATAATTCTGTAATCTATACTGGTGAATTTGTCCATTTACTAAAATTTATTGGTAATCTCAACATAAGATGTGTACAAAGCTAAAAAATAATTTACGTTGTCTGTTCTGCATATCTCCAGTCAAGTCAAACAGATGCCACCTTCTTAAGCTCACATGCTATGACAAGTAGGTGCTGGTGTATTCAGTGCCTCCTTCACATTTCTGTGTTAAAAGTTTCCGCCACTTTGGTGGTAGTGCTTGTGTGGAGAGGATGTAGAGTAAGGGGAACACTCCTCCATTGCTGGTGGGAGTGCAAACTTGTACAGCCATTTTGGAAATCAATATGGCAGTTTCTCAGAAAATTAAAAATCAATCTACTGCAGGACCCAGCAATACCACTCTTTGGCATTTATCCAAAGGACACACACTCATACAACAAGAATATTTGCTCAACTGTGTTCATAGTACCATTATTCATAATAGAACAAACTGGAAACAACCTAGATACCCCTCTCAACTGAAGAATTGATAAAGAAAATGTGGTACATTTACACAATGGAGTTCTACTCAGCAGTAAAAAACAATGACATCTTGAAATTTGCATGCAAATGAATGGAACAAGAAAAAAATATCCTGAGTGAGGTAACTCAAACCCAGATAGACAAACATGGTATACACTCACTCATAAGTGGATATTAGACATAAAGCAAAGGATACCAACCTATAGTCCATGATTCCAGAGAAGCTAAGTAAGAAGAAGAACCCTAAGAGAGATATACATGGATCCCCCTGGGATGGGGAAACAGACAAGACCTCTTGAGAAAATTAGGAGAAGAGAAAAGAGGGTGAAAGGAGAGGAGGAGAGAAGGAGAGAAGAGGGAGAATAAGAGGGAATGATATGCTCAAGAAAGGGGAAGGACAGTGAGGGATAGAAAATAAAAAGAGAGATCTTGATTGAGGGAGCCATTAAGGCTATTGAAAAACTAGAGAAATTTCCAGGAATCCTCAAGGATGACCCCAGCTAAGATTCTAAGCAACAGTGAAGAGAATGCCTAAATTGGCCTTCCCCTGTAATCAGACTGACCTTAATTGTCATCACAGAACCAGCAACTGATGGAAATAGACACATGGAACTACAGCAAAGCACTGGGTTAAGCTATCTGAAATCAGCCCAAGAGAGGAAGGAGCGATAATATGAGCAAGGGGGTCAAGACCATGATGGTGATACCCACAGAAACAGAAACAGCTGACCTGAGCTAGCTCACCCCGCCTATACTTCCTGCCTGGCTACTGGCCAATCAGAGTTTATTAAAAATAATACAAGTGGCAGGATAAAAGACCACTGCCTCACAGCACTTTGCCAGAAAGACTGAAGAATCAGGCAGTACAGAAACCTCAGTCAACAAACGGTGCCAACGTGAACAACTAAATCCACTTAAAACCTGAGTTTAAAAAGGAATTCTAGACACAAAAGAACAGAATTAAGCACATCTTAAGCCATGGCTCCTTTGAGAGGTTTTCCTAATTCAGCGGTAGCAGAAAAAAGCTACATGGTTTTTGAAACAGTGGCTTTCTGGGTCTTGCTGCTAGCGCAAACTCTGGCTCTTTCAGGAGGCCGAGCACTTGAATGGGGTTTGTGGGCAGCATGCTGCAAGTTACTTGGTGGCAGCATAGGACAACTGGTCATCAGAGTAGAGGTGGTGAGGACGGCTCCCACCCGGCAGTCTCAGAGGCAGTGAACGGACTTCTGCCATGATGAACTGGGCAAAGCCAAAAGGCAAAGCAGCCTTAGTCCTAGCCAAGCTGCTTTAGCATTTTAAGAAGCTGTCTTGGTTAGAAAAGGATCACAGATGTAAAATCCTGGTCAGAAAAGGATCACAGATATACAATAGGACAGATTCAGACAAAAGAAACCTCTAAATGGTTTACAGTGTGTTTAAATATAGATACAGGCTTAGGAGAGAAAAGAAAAAGAGTAAAATCCTTAAAATAAAAAAGAAAGAGAGAGTAGTTGAGTGTGGTGACACAAACCTTTAATCCAAACACTTGGAAGGCAGGCAGATCTCTGTGAGTTCAAGGACAGCCGGGTCTACAGAGTGCTTGCCAGGACAGCCAAAGATACACAGAGAAACCTACTCTCAAAAAGGTTTGATCAAGGAAGACCCCCTGAAAAATCTCCGGTAGGAATAGATGGCCAAGATGTCTGAGTTCTACATCCAGAACAGTTTCAAGACTGCTAGCTGAGATGATCAAGCCCAACAGGATACTCCAGTCAGGACTTGATCATAATTCTAAATTTTCTTTAGGTCCCCATAAGATTATCAGTGCCCCCAGTAAGCAGGAAGTAGCTTGGAAAACTACACCTACATCCCCCCCCCCAAAAAAAATCCCTGAATTATGGATGTTTGCCTTTGTTTAGAATGTCGGTTAGAAGTTGTTATAGATAATGGACAGGAGAAAAGGTAAACAAAGGATATTAGGTTCAGAGTTCTTGTTTTATTTTTAAAGTGGGGGGAATGCTGTGGGACAATGGTCTTTTATCCTGTCACTTGTATTATTTTTGATAAACACTAATTGGCCAGTAGCCAGGCAGGAAGTATAGGTGGGGCGAGGAGAACAGGAGAATTCTGGGGAGAGGAAAGATTCAGTCTGCAGTTGTTACCCAGTCGCAGAGGAAGCAAGATGAGAATGCCTCTCTGACAAAGGTACCAAGCCACACGGCTAACACACACACAAGAATAATGGGCTAATATACGATGTAAGAATTAATTAATAAGAAGCCTGAGCTATTAGGCCAACCAGCTTATAATTAATGTAGACCTCTGTGTATTTCTTTGGGGCTGAACGGCTGCAGAACTGGGCAGAACAGAAACCTTAGTCAACACTCACTGACTTGGAATGATAGTGGGCAAACCTGTATGGAACCAAATTAGGCCCACAGAATGTGGGGGACAGTTGTGAGTCTTACGTACTCTGTAGGGCCACTGGCAGTGGGACCAGGATTTATTCCTAGTGCTTGAACTGACATCTAGGAGCACATTCTTTTTGGAGGGATACCTTACTCAGCCTAGTAAGGGGGAGGGCCTTGGTCTTACCTAGAAGTGAAGTATTAGACTTTGTTGACTCCCCAAGGGAAGTCATATCCTTTCGGAGGAGTGGGTAGGGAGGTGAGGTGTGGGGAGGTGGAGAAAGCAGGAGGAGAAAAGTGAGTGGGAATGGGGAAAGCTATGTAAAATGAGAAAAGATTGTAGTATTTAAAAAAAATCCTAATTAAAAGTTGCCACCATTTCAAATGGTCCCATGTGTAATACTGAGGCTAAGCATAGGAGGACTCTGAAATACTTTAGGAGGAAAACGTGTGTGCTAAATAAACTGCATCCACACAGGGGTTACAGGACTGCTGGCTATGACTTTATTATAATGTATATACATACCAGCACCTATTTGTACATATGGAGCTGTATCTAAACAGAATCAAACATTAAACAAACAACAACAACAACAAAAAATTTCTATGTTGACAGCCTGGCCAAAACCACTGTGGCCAGAGGTCCACAGTGACCTGATCCTTTTTCCCTTCACAGCAGGAGTACCATAATCACTAATATGGTGTGCAGCAATCTCACAGAAAAAAAAAACTACAGCAAACTTAAGTCTGTCTTGCAAACAAGACAGAATGATGGAATAAAAACAAGAGGAGACTCTACAACTGGTGTCAAGCTTTCTCATGTGAGAAAATGGAAGGGCAGAACTGCCATTGACAGAGATGAAGTCGGGACTACCTACATATAAGAAAAAGGAAATGTTTCGTTTTAGGCATACTGAGCTTAGGATATTCAAGTAGAGTTGTCAAAAAGGCAACTTTTACACAAATTCAAAATCCATGAGCAGTCTTAACAGTTATATGAAGCTGCAAGCGTCAGCATAAGATGCTGGCTAAGGCCAGGGACGACATGAGGTCAGCAAAGGAAGTGTATGGAGACAGAGGCCAAGAGGAAGCTAGAGAGAAAAGCAAGGTGTGCACCCAAAGCCACAAGGGAGACAAACAGACTGAAGTAAAAGTCAGGCATGGTTCTGCATGCCTATAATTCCAGAACTCAGGAGGTAAAAGCAGAATCAGAAATTCAAGGCCAGTGTTGGCCTCAAAGCAAGTCTTAGGCCAGCCTGGCTACCCGAAACTCTATTGAATAAACAGAGAAGATGACCACCTGCCTTAACAGTTCCTGACCAACCAAGTAAACAGCAAGCCTATTATTGGTGGGCTTTAAGTGCACTCTTATTAGGACAGGGAAGTGAAGAAGTGGAGCTAGCCAACTGGAAACCCAACAGAGAACTAGAGAAAAACATTCAAAATTCTTACAGGAATTTTACTGCAGAAGGAAGCAAGCATATAGACTGATACAGGGGAAGTGAGATCACAGAACCACACGGGGAAGTGAGGTCACAGAACCACACAGG